TAATAGTGCAATAACTACAGTTTCATGGGTCTCGTAAAATCACTCTAGTTGCCACATCATAGTTGAATAGAAATAGAGAAAATTATGATGAATACGAGCAGAAAGTGGCAAGGAAACTGACTATTTAGATTAACCTGATTTCATTAAAATACCCATGCAATTAGATTTTAGTATAGTGAATAAAAATAACTTGAACCTAAGTCGAATATGGATTGTCTGTCAAAGAGAGACTTTAATTTTTTCGAGCTCAGTGAATCTTATTTCTGAATTCATGCATTGAAGTACATGTAACAGAAACACGTGTCACGCCACACACGTAAATTTACAATGACGGCTGTTTTATCTTTTGTAAGGAGATTACTCTAAGCGCGCTCCATGTTTTAAAATAAATTAAAGAAGGTATGAAAGGAAAAAATTGTGCAAAAAATATTTGGAATACTTTGATCTCAGCTGTTGACTTTTAGTATATAATCATGAATCGGTGTTATTAGATTTACTGGTAACTGTCAGTGAATTGAGTCGATATCAACGAATTAGTACAATTAATTCAACACCTTAGCTATGCAACTAAACATCTTTTAATAATTTTAGAGCCGAAAAACAAACCATTTGGCGTCACATAGACTATTACAAGATTTGATTCGGCTCATTAACCAGCAGATTGTGGTCACGAAGTACTTAAATCAACTTTGCCTGTCACGCACCTCAGAGGAATGTGATCACGAATATTTCACAGAGGCCAAAAATTTTTTCGTCAGAAACATAGCACTATGATTGGGTTTTACTGTGATCACATGTTGATCGACATGTACCGTTGCCCATTGGAGATATTTGCAATTAAAAAAGCCTAATTTTCGGTCTCTTAAAACTGTCGCGTGACATGGTTCATTATGAAATGCTCTCGACTGGCGAGATTGATTTCAAATCAATCGAACTTCAAACCTTCTATTACCTAAGGTTCAAAGAGTCGTCGGATGAAATGAGATTAAAATCCATTGCATGTTATCAATGTGAGAGATCCTTTTTGAAAGTACAATTTTAGGGCTAATTTCGGGGTGTTATCCCTGGGATTTGATGTGAAAGCCCTTGTTCCCCAGGGATTAACCGGGAGCATAAACTACTTTGGACTCTTAACTAACTTTATGGCCTTAATTATCTGTTAAAGTTTGCGAGAAATCGGTGAGATGGCATGTGTCACGCCTGCCTGGTCTACTCTTGAATAGACTCTTAACATTTTGGCTGTGGCTCGCATGGCTCGCTGGTTCATAACACTCGCTTTCATATGCTGGTATTTTGTTTTCTCGTTTTTCACATAACCTCAGCGAGCAGGGGATTTGACGAACACTCTGTACGTCTCCTCGCCTTTCGATTCACCCCAGCGTGTCAAGGGTTGTTGTGATGTTTCTATCATTGAACATACAAGGGACTCCTCGCGATTGACGCAAGAATCCATCGTGCTAGAAAGCCGCGAACACACTCTAAGTCTTCAAGCCTACGCTGCACAACATGGCGAATCCTGGGAATCAGTGATTTAACAGGTGACCTTTACGAGTACTTCCCGTAGACAGCCGAACAATCGATCTAAAGCTCCCGCCGGTTTTTAAGCTTTACTTTGTATACTCAATTGCGAGCTGCAGTGAGCTTAGCCCCATGTAAAGCAGCAAACCCGAACAACGAGATTAAGTAGATGCATTATGAAGACTTACCTGTTGTGTCCTGCAGGTTACGAAGAACGAACCATGAAAGACTCTTACTTCAAAACAAACGATGCCAATATATTCGCCAGGCTACATACCGAACCATTTACGCCGAAGATCTTCGGTGTGGATCTTTGCCTTTTTCCATATAATCCTTTAAAAATCTTGGCGTAAATTTAGCAAACCTTCGCCGCGACCTTTGAGTGGAATGCACCTCCCTATATTCGGCGGGCCGGGTGGTTCACTAACGCCAACAGAATACATTACGAATTCAAAACTGTCGAGCGTCGATAAATCCAAGAAGAACCAAGAATAAAAGCTACATCCAAAGAAAAAAAGCCATTTCTCTTGGAAATAAAATTTTTGAAAAGTTCGCAAATCAGATCACAGCAGAATTAAACGAACGTTTAAGCGACGGCCTGACAGGAAGAGCCACAGTTGCGAAACGGCACTACTCGCATTGACAGAAAACTGGAAAAATGCTATGGATAATGGAATGAGCGTTGGCCTGTTAAGTACTGACATGAATAAAGCTTTTGATTGTCTTCATCACTCTTTGTTACTTGCTAAACTAGACGCATATGGCTTTAACAACGAGAACATCAAGCTAACGAAATCATATTTCATGCCGGGATCGCTACTATAGACTCAGAGTTAGTGGAATCACAAGTTCCTGGAAAAAGGTCAAGAAAGGATGCCCTCAATGGTCCTCTCGTTGGGGCCTCTACCGTGGAATTTATTCCAAAAGGACTTGACGTTTGGTATTCCCTCTAACATTTGAATGCATGCTGATGACCATCAGTTTTACGAAATTAATAAGGATATTAACACTATACAAACAAAACTACAGGATACTGCTCAAAGGACTACAGCTTGGTACGATGCAAACTTTCTAAAAGTGAACTGTGATAAATACGGAACAATGGTAATGAAAGCAGGCAGACTGAACGATAAACAACTAGAGCTGAATGTTAACGAGACAGCCATTAAGTCATACAATTCTATTAAGTTATTGGGTGTAAATATTGATGATAATTTAAATTTTTCCGACCACATAAGTAACATTTGTGAAAAAGGTTGCCAAAGGGTAGGCGTAATTAATAGATTAAGGAAGTTAATCCCAGTTAAGGCTAAATTACAACTTTTTAAGGCTGCTATCCTGCCTTATTTAACTTACTGTAGTACTATATGGAATTGTTGTAAAGCTAGTGATTCTAGGAAATTAGAGAGGGTACAGGAACGGGGCCTTAGGGCTGTTTACTGTGATAGCATATCATCATACAGCGATCTTCTTTAAAGGGCTTAATTAACTACCTTATATAATAGAAGATTACATGATAAAGCCGTGTGAATGTATTAAGTTAAAACGATCTGTGCCCTAATAATATTAACAACTTGTTTGACATTATTAATAATAGATACAATTTAAGAAACAATGATTTCACAACAAGCACTCCCTTAGGTACTTAAGTCCAGTAATCTGGTCTAAATTAGACGGAAAAACAAGAACACTAAGAACGCTACAAGAATTTTAAAGTGCTTTAAATACATTAGACATACAAAGTTTAATCCCTTCGGCCAATTGCAAGAACTGTATTTTATGTAAATCTTAATATTTCATATTATCAGTATTATATTTCTAATCTTTTAGGTAACTTAAATTACGCAGGGTAGGGTAGTACATATATATAGGGTCAACTATACGGGGCAGGATTGCACATTTTATGCGTTTTATATATATTAGATTAGTTAAGTTTAGGTGTCCTTATTTAATGGGAAACTACTATTGATTTGACACATTAATAAAGTTTATTATTATTATTTAAGTAATCACCAAAAATATTTACAAAAGTTTGATAAAAACCCTAAAAATCGAAAACCACATTAAAATGTCCATCAGAAGCTAAGAAAAACACACCTCGTCTACGTTTACTTCTCGAGCTTTTCGTTAATAATAAAGATAATAAAAATGATTATGATAACAGTAACTTTTAAGTCTCTTGACAAAGGAAATGTAAAGTCTTCAAAAGTTCAACGCAAAAGAATAAGAAAAATTTACAATAAAAATAATCTGTAACTGATGAGTTTAAGGAAGTCTTGCTCGACCCTTCTCTTCTTCCAGATCCCTGTCTTTAATGTCTAAGTTCCTCCTTCTCGGGGTTCTAGATCCCCTTAGACATAGGAGCGCGCTCCGCAAAATTGCAAAGGGCACTTTCGCTCTGACCCATGAGATTGTTGTGGCGTAGCTCTCTTGCTTTTTTGCAGATAATAGCTCGGCTAATCTTGAGTGGTACCTCAGGCATTCGTCAGCCATCCCCCCGTCGTTGTAAATACCAGTGGGGTGAAAGTGCCTTGCTCTACTTCTGTTACACGGGAGTTGTATTTTCGCTTCTTTTCATTTTCATGAATCCTGTAAATCTGCTTGGGGTTAAGATCTCTGTATGAGTCTGCGTTGGGATGACACCCTTCTATTGAAAAAAGCAGCCCTCTGTCGCTCCCAGAAACCCCTACAGTGGACGTCGAGGCGTGCGTCAGGTGCTTGATTAGTCCCTCTGGGAAATTCTTCGCTTGTAAGAGGGTTTTAAAGCCGGTTCCACCTGCACATCGTAACAAACCATGTCGAGCAGCTCGGCCTGTAGATCGCGTATTTCATTGTGACGCTAAATGACTAAGCCTCCATGCTGGCAGATCATCGCGTGATCCACTGTACACAAGCTCCCACAAACGCACACTGATGGATTATCGGGTATTGGCCAGTCATATCGAAGCCTCACAGCGTCCTGAAATTCCCGCTTGGTGAGATCAAACACCATGTCTTTGAGAGGAATAACTGTAAGCCAGTTGGATGCGCCTTTTTCACAGGCCAAGTCTACGGCTCTCTGTGTCTTGTCTGGTAATAAGGCCTTCACCTCCTCGAGCTTTTCTGTTAGTCTCTCATTATTACTTAACAGGAATCGACGAAGCGCTTCCACCGCCCCCCCTCCCCCACCTCCTATATTCATAAATGCTACGCATTCACTCGTGATAAAAAATGAAGGGAAGTTAAAAATTTCATTTACAACTTTGCGTCACTTTCTCAGAGAATCGCTTTCAAGAAGGTTAAGGTTCTTTTCCTCTTATGAAAAATGAAAACATCAACTACTCAGTGTCCCACCGTAACTCAACCAGCCAAAAAAATAACTCTTACAGGCGTAACATGCCTAAGTTTTAAAAGGGTATATCGTGGGTTCGTTCGTCGTTAGGTAATGAGTGGTGATTTGGACTCTGAAAAGTTGAAGCAATTCGAGGCGAGACTTCTTCACCGAATTTTCATTTTATTAATTTACAAATAAATATTAAAATAGTTCTTTCGTCAATCTCAAATAATTTAATCGGAGCAATCACTAAAGCGATCCTCGAGGAAAACTGTGAGCTACGTAAAACCACATAGAGGCCATTGTTGGCCACCATAACCAATTAACCTACAAAAGAGTAATTTTCATCTGTCATTTAGTAACAATGATTCACAGTGATAATTTAAAAGCAACATACGTGAGAGGACTCCTCGAATTCTCACTCTCGTTTCTTTTTACGCTTTAAAATGCAAGCTTGGCTCGCTTAAAACAAATTATTTTAAGCACAACATGAACATTTCAAGCTTTTTCTAACAGATATATCACCTGATGAGTGAGTAATCACGAAACAGGCTTGAAAGGATGAAAGCGTAGTTTTTTGTATTTTTCTACTCAACAGAAATCGCGCGCTACTTTTATGTATCAAGCACTGCTATACGGAAACATCGAAACACAGACCTCCTTCACACACACACACACACACACACACACACACACACACACACGCGCGCGCGCGCGTGTGTGTGTTGAGTTAGCAAACATACATAGACTACGCTTTCATCCCTACAAGCCTGTTTCGCGATTGCTCACTCATCAGGGATTATATACCTGTTCATCCATACAGTTTAGAAGAGGTTTTGTAAACACGAAAAAAGCCTCTTATAGCTTTGATATCTATGTGTATATCTAGAATGGGCTAGGAGAATTCGAGAAAGACGTAGTCGGGGGTTTATATAACTTTCTCGAATCTTCCCAACTCCCGCCGAGTGTTTAGATGAGACTATGCAAACACGGAGAAAAAAGTCATCCATTTCTTTTGTAAATGGTGTCAAACGTCATTTGGAACACAGACGGGGTGACGTCACAGCCGCGCTTTGATAGTTTCAAATAAATAAACCTATTGATCAATGGGAGCGCGCGTAATAACTTAAATTATTAAGAACTTATTAGCTTCTATTTGAGGATGAAATTTGGTCACACATTTGACAGCATCAGCATTACATGCGACAAAGGTCGGAAACATTGTTCGAAACAGCAGATATCATCCACTGGATACACACGAGCATACTCTCGCGCCAAATATCTTGAGGTCATAGTCTTAATTATCCCTCTTATCCTTTTTGTGCTGCAAGGGAGGAAATATAAACGATCAGCTTGTCACGAATGCTATTGACTTTCGAGTGTTCTCTGATACAGCTTGGTGAAAGATCACGTTTATCCCTTCTTCAGTAACAAAGCAAAAGGCTATCTAATTTTGATTTAATTCTTGAAGACCTTCATGGTGGCTGACGTAATGCTTTCAACTTGAGATGTTATTCAGTCACGAGATGCTGTTGGACCACTTAAAGAGAGGCGTAATATTCAGTGCATTACAAAAAAACTTAAATGTTTCCATAATACTACAAACTCTTACTTGAATTTTTTAAGTCCAATTATACTGAGGTGGCTTTTCCTGTGGCTTCTGGTTGGTTCTCTGAGTGATAACTTCCAACAGGATTCCCATGACTACAACAAAAATATACATTTGACCCAACTTTAATACTCTGGGCTGACACAATTTAAAATAAAGAAATAATGCATAAATTCTCCCTAAATCGCGAGACAAGCTAATGTCCCCCTGAACAGATCTATATTAAATTCACAGATATGTATTTAAGATTTTCTTAACAAATATTACCTTAACTTCGAGCAGCTACAGTGTACCCGACACAACAGTTTCCACATCACCAACCTCCAACCACATTTAATGCAAATCCAAAAAGTGACGAGTAAAATTACCAAAATAGTTACCGAAACTACAATGATTGTCCAAGAGAAACCTTTAGAGAGGAAAGAAGACTATATTATGCGCTGAGTAGTTGCACTTGTTTTAGTGTTTAATTATCTTACTGGAAAATATAAAGCCAGTTTACAAGTGTTTGAATGACGATAACCACAGTTTTGATATGAAGTACTAACCGACATGAGCAACACAAAGTGGTGGTTCAAGAGAGCGACAATCAAGCGATATTGACCCGAAGGGAGCTCACCTTAAGAGAAACAAGCTGTTTCGGATTTTTTCGTTTTTCTCTTTTTGCTTGTTTGCCTGTTTGGTTATTTACTTGTCTTTGTTTTGCCCCTATTTTAACTTACGCACTAGCCTAATGGTTGGCGCGCAAAATATCGAATGGGGAGGACCAGCTGGTTAATTATAGTGTTGAGTTCTCTGTCAAGATACTTCAGTCTCACAAAGCTTCAATCAACTCAAGAGTTTAAAATAGGTTTCATCAGGCAATTGGGAAAACTTGATGAATTGCAGGGGATATGATGTAATGGCTCACTACAGCAGATTAAGTCTCACTTGTAAATCCTGAAGTCGGTGCTTTGCTTGCCGGCGTTTTACCTGCTTCGGGCGTAGGTGTTGTTGGTTGATCCTCTGGATGGGGGCTATCTGGCACCTGAGGCAAATGAGTATTTGCATCAAGTGGGTTATCTTTCGTTCCGTGTAAAATCAGCGACCAGTCAAAAAGGATTCCTTGTCACAGAAGTAAAGGAAAAAAATTAAACGGAAACTATGAAAAGGATGAAAAGTAAAGCGAGGATACCGAAAATCGTAGAGTCTAAACGAAATCTACGGACACAGCGTTCTTGAAAAATATCATTTTAATGAATACCTATTTGGGTGTCTTAAGTCAGCTACTTACCTTTGTTGGCACGCTGCGTTTGTGAGTTCTTTATCGTAAGTTTCCACTCTCCCTTCGCAGTCTCACCCCAAAGATGCAATGTCATGACGACCCAATTCTTTAACTCTTTTAATTTGAAAAAGCTATCAGAGAGTCGATAATGTGTCAGATTGGTTTCAGTTCCGCTTGGTGATGTTAATTTTATCTCCAAATCTCCACGGCGGGTATAGTTCAGGTTGAGTTTGACTTCCACATGCTCCAAAAACTTAATCATAACTCCATTGCAAACGCTCTCCATGTCTGTCAAATCAACTGCCATGTCCAACGGCTCATAGGACGGGATTGGCCTGAGAGAAAATAAACCAATATTCAGGGTATTAGCCTTCTGGCTGTAGGTCAAGGAGTTTTCACTCACGCGACATCCACGAGAGTTGGCCTCCTAAGGTACTAACGATGCGAGACATCCAATTCTCTAAAATATTCAGTTCATCGCGAGCTATATACAGCTGCATCAATTTACGTACAATGTCACAAAATATTACTTTTCAGCCTTAACAACAACTTTTGCAAGCGACCTCACGCTGTTGTTGTTGCGGACTTGGTTGTCTAAATTCCACGATGCTTGCACTAAAAAACGTATACTTCTTACCGCACAATAATCATCTAAGTTCTGGAGGAGCGTATCAAACAAAAGAATATATATTTATCAAGTAAATAAATTAGAGCCCACATTTTATTGAAAGACAAAATAAAAGATTTTTAACATACTTCTTTACACCAATGCGTTCGATCGTGCAACTGCTTTTTTCTGGCACCGTTGACCAATTAGCTGCCAGTGAAACCATCTTGCTAGCGTCCATCAGGCCAAAGCCAACGTAGTCATTAACTGCGTTACAATCAACATCACAGACAAGACCGTGTAAGAACAACACTCAAGAAAATCACAAAACATTCAGGGAATTACCACGTCGTGATCGGTTGGAAGGAGTTCAAAATTAGTGGTTTATTTTTTTTAATAATGTGCAGACTTGTTTGTGCTAAAACTTTGTAATTGTTCAATATCAATTGTACATACTCTTGATGTCATATTAGAAGCTTTAAATTCGGATGCAGGGAAATGAAGAAAATCCACACGGACTATTGTGAGACGAGCGGAGATTGCTGGACACATTCAACTCATATATTACTAGTAATTAAAGGTGACATGTAATTTACTACCTACGAACCAACTAAGTATTTTAGGAACATCCCGGTCAAACGGGTCATCATTCTGGATTGTACATCAGTATTTATTTATAGAAAACAGCTAACTTGGGTAGCACAACCGTGGGTTGTCAATCATTAGCGGTGAATTGAAATATATAAACCTACCATGAACTATACGATACAATACATCGCAAACATTTTTAACTGGTAAGTCATTGTAGTAGCCTTTCGAACCGTACACGATTACCCAAATATCTAAGTTCTGATCATATACCTGACCTGATTTGTTTTTCATCACAACATCAGCCATTAAATAATTAGGTGTTGTATTGGTCCATTTTGTCATATGAACAATGCTTCTTACATGGTTAAAATCGATTTATTAGTTGTCTTGACAATGTCTCGATAGAGCTTACAGCACTTAGACTCACCGTATTGTGATCGATCTTGTTTGATTTCCACCATAATTCAACCGCAACTGTGTATTTTGATTTCGCGGCAATGTACATATTAACACCAAACCTTGATGAATAATAACCCTTTGAAGAGTCTAATTTAAGTTTAAATGGTTTTACGCGATTATTGAATTCATGAAAGTCTCCCTTATCAGTCAGTTTTTGCCCACAGATATCATCTTCATCACTGACTAGGCCGGGATCATACATAATATACCGGAGAACATTATTCAATCGACTGCTTGCACCACGAGCAATATGGTCATCAACGTATTTTTCATAGTTTGTTGTCATCAAAGCATTGTTGTCGCTTATTGTCTTATTGGTGTAATTAACTGTGGCTGCATTAAAGCTGTCATAGGGTTGTGGATCTTTGAGGTTCACGATTGCGTTTGAGTTCGTATTGAGATAACCGGCCATCTGTTGCCCACCATCCAAAAGCATAACAGTATTTTTATCAGGTTTTTTAGCTATTTCTGTGTTGAATGTTGTTATATCAAGCTTTCCACTCAGTTCATTTAATACAACCCTTGAATCAGCCTTCTTATGGAGTTCAGTGTTTAACTTATTTCAATTGATGACGCTGGTTCCATTCGCTAGTTGATCTGAAATGCCTGTTATTTGCCTATCAGCACCATGAACGCTAGTGAAATTCAAAGCAGCCTCAATATTACCACCTTTCGTTTTGTCGAGATAATTAGTCAGATCAACACTTCCGATGTCTTAGCTAACTCTGTGTCAATATAAGTTTTATTACAAAGATCGGTTCCAGCTTTTGGTACTGCTGAATTGATTACTTTTTTATCGCCAAGATTAAGGTCGCCTGTCATAGATCGACTACCATCCAAAAGCATGACAGAATTCTTATCAGCCTTTTTAGCCATCTCAGCGTTTAATCTTGTGGAGTCTAGTTTTTTAGCAATCTCGGTGTTGAATGATGTAAAGTCTTTTTAGCATTCAGTCCATTGGTCACAACTGATAGATCAGCCTTTGTTTGAAGTTCGGAATTGAGTTTATTGAGATTCACAGCAGCAGTACCTGAAAGAGGATTATCAGAAAGACCTGTGATATGTCTTAATGATGGGCTGTTGTTTGTGCAAACGATATTGCCTGAAACATCTCCACCACTTGTTTTCAAGAAGTTTGAATCAATGTATTGCCTATTAATTGCATCTTTGTTGTTTGAAGGATTAGCAACATTGATTATTTCATTGTCTTGCATGTCAAGGGTACCTATTATTATAGGTCGTGTTTTGTCAGCATAAGATTTTGTACAAGCAGAAATGTGATGGTCAAGAGGCCAACTCCAATGTAGCTTTGTTGGTTTATTAGCTCAACGTTTCGACCGTCTTGGTCTTCCTCAGGAGCATACTAATTACATGAGCAATATTCCAATTAAAATTCGTAAAACACGTTTGGCTATTATCTATTCTATTTTTATATTATTATGTCATGACATGTTTACTGTTGACAGGAATTTTAAATTTGAATATTGCTCATGTAATTAGTATGCTCCTGAGGAAGACCGAGACGGTCAAAACTTCGAGCTGATAACCCAGCAAAGCTACATTGGAGTTGGCCTCTTGACCCTCACATTTCTGCTTTTATTTACGTTATTTCAAGAGCCCACGATCGCTTCAGTGATCCTCCAAGCAGCGCGTTTGAGACTGATCAGCATTGTTTGTGGGACCCCCTACAAGTTTCTACTTATATATAAACATAGATTAATTCAGTTGAACACTTAGTTGAATAACGTTTTTTGTATATGATTTTCGTTCTTTTTTATGTAATATTATAACATAACCAAAGTAAAGCGCGCGCTCTGATTGGTCAATTTAGCGTCCCCCATTTGCCCATGGGTGTACGCTGCTGACGTGAGCAAATGCAAAGACTATTTTTCCGCGCGCGCTTGTTTACGCTTCTTTCGTGCTTAGCAACCTCCCGCGTGCATCCATAACTCAATAGTGTACGCTGTGGTGTTTACCATTTGTTAAATGTTATATACGAGTCTTTTAAAATGGCAGAAATTAGCGAAAAGTATAACCAATCTTGGGAACCAAATCAATAGTGTCCGTGATACAATCAAGAAAAATGATATCAGTCATAGGGCAAGTCAAGAATCATTTTCAAATTTATTCAAACCAATAACTGGTAAATTAGATGAAGTCATTGACAGTAATTTTAATGTAACTCCAATCAGAAAACGACAAAGAAACAAAGGTGAAACTCCTGATTATAACATTCCTATTGAGGATGAGGTTCCAGATATGAACCTTGGTGATCTTTTTGATGAAACAGTTTTACCACAAAATGATAAACATATTGTACCCAAACCTCCATCATATGAAGATTCATTGCAAGACATGTATGTTGATCCACAATACTTTAAGGAACAGTCAGACGAATTACCTCCTGGTTATGATTAAGATGAAGTCCCAGAATATGAAAAAGGTGATGAGGATATGCAAAAAGACATTCTCAATCAGCTGAATCTTCAAGATTACGAAAATGTTGATAAGATTCTTGCTCAAGAACAAATGAACCCACAAAGATCAGAAAAGTATCTCCAAAAGACTGTTAAAGAAGCGATTTTTTAGCGAAATCAACTTAAAGGTTACAAAGCAAACATCACCAAAAACTATAATATGGGGAAAATATCTTCAGCAGAAAGACAATCAGCTATGAAACGCCTGGATGATGCAAGAGAAGTATTAAATTAGTGAATAAAACATTACGAAACAAGAATAAAAACAATGACAGGAAGTGGTTTGAGAAAACAAAAAGGAGGCAATGTTGTGTTTTTCAATGATCCCAAAGAGCTCTTGAAAAAACTCGAACTCATTATTGGTGAAATGATAGCCGGCAATACTAGTATCGAAATGAGAAACACAGATCAAGCCATTCTTCATACTCTTCTAAGGATGTCAATGATCAATAAGAACCAATACAAAAAACTTGTCAATAATTATTTCAAGATATAATGTAATTATAATATATAATGGAAAGAGAAATAGTTTTAACTTCTTACAAAAACTAATCTGGGAAAAACAAGCCATCAGATTTTACAACTCAATTTGTCCAGCCTATAACTCTTAACGAAAATAATCAGTATGTTATTGGCCTCAGCAGAATTATAAACATGAGTTTCACATGGTTTAATGTTAACAGTTCACTAAAGAACCAGAAGCTCAAATATAGTAAAAATAACGGTACATCTTTCACTGAAATCACTCTACCAGCTGGTTTATGGAATTATACCAATTTCAACAATTACATTAAATCTCAAACAAAAGGTGGTAGTAATTATCCCATAACATTAGAATTCGATGATACAATTTTTCGAGTGGAAATAACACTGGCTGAAAATTATCAGCTTGATCTCCGAGAGAGTAACTTCAATGAGCTTATTGGATTCAACAAAGTGCTTCTCAGATCTGGAACCCATGTTGGCCCAAAAATTCCCAAGTTATCACAAAGACACTGATCTTCTGAATATTCAATGTGATCTAGCTGATGAGAGTATGGTAGATGGTCAAGAAACAGACATAATCTACAGCTTTAGTATAAGTGTACTCAAACCATCCTATAGTTTCACTCTTGAACCACAGAGAGTCACTTTTAATCCAATCAACAAAAACAAAATATCAAGCATTCGTGTCTATATAACAGGCGGAAAACGAAGAATTATTGATTTGAATGGACAAGACACAGCTTTTTCATTGCAACTGAAACCACTCAATTAATATAACTGATTAATATAATGATATCTATCGAGTTCAAAAGAATTTGTCATCCAAAAATGGGACGTTATGTTTACAAGCACAAGGGATCGGGTCTCATTGTTGATAATTAATTTAAATCAAGAAAAGCTATCTTCAAATCATTTGCAAACCATTTGCCAAAAAAGCTCTTGATGCAGGTGTTTCACATGCTGGAGAACGTCTTGGAAAAGCTGTTTCTCAAAAATGTGGTGATTATATAATGCAAAAATTACACAAAATGCAAAATAAAAAAACTCCATCAAAAAGTCCTGCTAAGATGAAACCAAAAAGTCAAGAAGAATCAACACATATGATTCTCAATCGGTTTATAAGCGGTAATGGTATCATACGGTAAAATAATCTAACATATAAATATAAATGTCATTCAGAACAGATCAGTATTTACAGCGAAATGAATTAGTCAGAATCCAACTTGATAATGTTATTCGTAGCCCAGCTAATGG